TCCTTTCTCCACCGCAACAAGGGCAACAAAATAGCTTTTTTGTGACAACCCAAATGATGAGTACAAAGCACCAACCAAAATTTTGCATGATAGTGGAGAATTCATATCTATTTAATCGTTTACAAAATAAACTAAGATAACAATTAAAAACTAATCCAATCAATATCATTACCAATTCTGTCTCTGTTGTTGCTTGCGAGAATTAAATTCTATGAGTTAAAAATTTGGGCAGGCCAATAGTGAAAGTAGGATATAATTCTATGAGTGGTGTCTGTTTCTCCAAAAATCTTCTAGTGGCCTCACACATGTGAAATCTGGATACGGGTATACCACTTACTTTGCTGAAAGTAAGAAAGAAGGATTTTCCTAATGATCCTCTCCTTCCTCACGGTCAACTTCCTTGCGGATGACAGGAAGAACGTTGGATTAAAATTGAAATCTGCATCTACAGACGATTTGCAAGAAGGAGGGATACCTTCCTGGAAAATGGGTTATAAAATCTGCTTTGAACAACTCCAAGGACTTAAACATTACCGTGAATTAAAGTTAACAAATCCTAATTAAACTAAAAGATGCAGTTTAAAATAAATTTATGAGAATAAGATATATCCACATTAAACTAAACATGTTCATTGTTAAATTAAAATGCTATCTATTGATAGATCTGAAAATTAAACTATTACAAAATTGAGGATTTAACCCTAATTAAAACTAAAATAAACATGAACAGTGATTAAAGTAACATGCTTGAAATTGAGAAGAAGCGTGAACGCATATAAGTAAACATTTGATGAAACGCTACTTATCATAAACATTAAATTGATTACAGTCAGAAAAGGAACAATACCTTAAAGAAATTTAAGAACTTGAACTTCATTACATGAAACGAAATTGCTTAACCAAGTACTTGAACTAGTTTATCTACTAGAATGATGAAAAACAACCTAGCTCTACTGGAAATTGTGCTAAAATCCAAAATCTGTAACTAGTTGTAGAGAAAATGAAAGTATGAAAATTTGCATGTTTTGAGTAGGGCTGGCCATGTGTTCCCCCTTCCAAAATTTCCTTTTTGTTTTCCTTTTGCCGGCAGTAACTCGCCACTTTCTGCAGTTACATAATTGTGTGTGGTTTCTTGAGGTAGTGGGACAATTCAATAGTTGACCTGGTCAAATCTCCTTCCAGATTTTCGTCACCTATGATCTTATTTGATAACTCCCTTCTATAACTGCAGTCTCCTCCTATATTTCAGTTAAAACAGTCCCTTTTTGACTCAAAGAGGTAATTACATGGTAAAATATTATTTTTATCTTCCTTTTTGGCCAATGTGGCAGTTGATTTGTCATGGAGCCTAGAATAACAGGTCTGGCATGGCAAAATCTCCTCCATCCATTAGAAATTTTTGACATGTGATATGATCTTAAATTTTTATGATTTATGGTGTAAACAGTGTCATATCAGCATATGTATGTACGTATATTAGAGGAACTCCAAAAACAAAAAACGGAGCTAGTTTACTGTGAGACACACCGTTTGATTTATTTATAAAAAGGATTTATTAGTGGAGTTGAAGAGTTTATTTGTATTATTTTTAGTTTAGGACTTTAAATACTATTTTGGATAAGTTTGAGGTTTAAAAAGGATTTTTGCCAACTTCTCATCC